AAAAATCTGCCTAGGTAATGAAAAATTCTAAAATAAATTCCTTTCTGTTACCATCTACTATAATAGAATTGCACAATGTTCTCCAAAGTCAAAAGCCTGCCTTTTCATTCAAAATACTGTATATTATGTTGAGATTTATTTAATATGATGATAATAGCTTATATTAAATGAAATGGTTGGCATATAGTAGATTAACTTTGTGATTCATCAGTGAAATTGTCTTTAACATCCTTCCTGTTACTGATTATGGTTATGCTGTTACTTTTTACCAGGTAACATGACAGAACGTAACAGAAAAGGAATTACACAGTGCTTTTTGTCCTTTTATTCGAATTGTGTGGAAGTTTTCTTCCATCTACATATCAATTTAATAAGATACTATAAAAACACATTTACTGTTATAGTGCTGACAATCAAATATTCTCAGAAGGTACACAAAAAGGCTGTAACAGGAGAGAACAACAAAATTATTCTTCTCTAAATTCTGATCTTTGGGGAGCTCGGATTTTTCAAGCTAGCTGCCATTCAAACTATACATATTGAGTCATACATTCAAGAAATGATGTTCTTCTCATTGCATTATAAGAAATCAAATCTTGGTCTTTCAAACGCTTCCACAGGTGAAAAAAAAACAGTGGTAATAGGAGGGAAATTACTCCTTGGGACAAAATTTAAAAGACACTTAAAAATGCAAAATTTTATTACATGCTTTAGTTGTAACAAAAACAGACCTGTAAGGGACAAGTTTCTTATATGATCTATCATATTTGTGAAAATCGGAAGCCTGTTTACTTAATTTGGATATTCTTTGAATGATTTAGTTGTCAGAAAACAACACGGGACAACATGATTTTTCAAATTATAATATTTTTTTGGAAGAAATATAAGAAAGAGTGTTTAATTGGCAATAGTTGGTGCATTATATACTCTAGTTAATACTGAAACTTAAAATTTTTCCAAAAAGATGGTTGAATAAAAAGATAATTGCTGGTGAAAGATGGAACCAGGAAATTAAACTTTTTCAGATATTGTCTCTTATACAATTTAGCTTACAAACATAAAAAAATTTAAAAATTTGGAAAACAATTCGGAATTTGTCTTCAAAACATGCTGTTGTTTCTATTAGCTTATAATAAGTGAAAATTATATTGTTCAACTAATAACTGCAGTCGAATTTAAATGGAAAAATAGGGATATTCATAAAGGGACTATTACCCTTGAGACGAATAGATGTGTCAAAATGTATCAAACTTAAGGTAGATTTTCTTGAACTTCCCCAAGACAAGAAAAGTCCCTATCAATGATGACAGATTCAAAGTCTCCCAAAATGCGTAAAAAATTATTCTATAGTGATAAAACTTTTGAACTCATGTCACTACACTGGATACGAATATATGCCTTTGTTAAATTTTATGTTTCTATATTTGATATAAATCATACTATTGGAATAAATTACCAATAAATATTCGAAATATTGAAGGACAATGTATCCGGTTTTTCTATCGTAAATATGAATTTTGTCTATACTGCAAAATTTATAATCTCCTTGGAATAGTTAACATTTATTTCTGTACATGTATATCAAATCCTTTTTCTTTATTTATCAATATCCAAACGTTTGATTTATCCATGCTTTACACGCTTCCATCACTTACAGTAATGCATATGAGACCACATCAAAATGAAATATTGCATTAATGCACCTTACTTTACTTGGTGCATATAACAGATCTGTGATAGTCTTTTTTATATTTAGTCATACCTTGAATCACCTATGCCGATTTCAAGCTTAACATAATGGAGAAGGCTTATTAAAAACCGTAGGTTGATCTTTATGTGTCTTCTCTGCTTTTTGTATGCCTTGTTACTGTCTCGTTGGCGTATGCCCAATATTACCCCTTTTATTCATATGTATAGATAAAAATTCCATACCCAAAACCTTAAAGTTATGATTTCAAACTATGGTTCTATCGGTGGTCTCGATGCTAGTGTCTCTCCTTAGGTGTATGAAAAAAGTTTCAAAATATTCTTTGCTGGTGATATTTACACCGGATATTGCAGTTAAGTGGTATACACATGATTGTTCATTGCTGCGGCAAATTTAAATGATAGCTACTAGTATCAAGATTCAAGGATGTTTATTGCTGTAATATACAGAAACTTGCTAGTTAATACATTGTTCAATACTAATGTTAAGTGATATTTATTATGATTAATTTGGTGTCTGTCCACAGCAATATCTTGACGGAGGTTGGATCAAGGTGATGTGGGATGTTTTTTTTTTCTTGTTTTTTAATATTTATTTCATGGCTTTATTTACAGACTTAATTGACGAGCACCTCCCCAGTTGCCTTAATAATGAGATTTGTATTGCCTAACCCTTCCAAAACATCTTCCTGTGTATTTGCTCAGTGTTATTTCTTGTTTATTTGTACACTAACATTTCTATAAATGTTCATTTAGGAGGTGACAAAAATAAGGAGGGACAAGGTGTGTATATAATGCACATTATTTCTACTGTCAAACCCGGAGAGGGGAGCTTTGTTACCATTTCATTCAGAAACTTGAAAAGTTACTTATAATACAATATATTCTTCTTTAAAATCCTTAAATTATCATTACAACCCCTCTTTCTGAAGTGGAGTTATCGATGAGTCCTCAATTTTTCGTTTGAATTGTTTCACATTTTGTCCTGTTGGGGCCTTTAACTAACGGACTAAACGGAATGGCTTTTGCGCATTCTTAAAGGCGGTATGGTGACCTTTTATTGCTAAAATTCACGTCATTTAGACTCACTTGGATAGTTGTCTCATAGGCAATCATGCCACAATTCCTAATTTTTTGTGTATATAGTGATGGAGAGAGTCCGTCCTTCGTCCTTTCCCTCTTTGTATCCGCAACTGCCCCTTAACTGCTTGAAAAAAATTGGTTCACAGAATCTTACCCACATAATATGATTTTGCACTTCTTATTTCATTTCTTCATTTTAATCATTTAAGGGTATCTCTTCGTAAATCATGGACTTTGTAATTGGTTTATCAACGTTTCCCATTTTGTATCCGCATTTCCTCATTGAATTCTAGTTAGAATTTATTGAAAATTTCAAAAGTCTTCACAATATGATGCTATTGTGCATCTCCTACTTTGTTTTGATCCGAAGTATTTATGGGTTTTCCTAAGCAATTCATAGACTTTGCAAGAACCAGGGGTATTATGTTTTGAGCTTCCCGACAGTACCTCTAGTATCATGTTGTGAGCTTCCCGACAGTACCTCGAGTATCATGTTGTGAGCTTCCCGACAGTACCTCTAGTGTGTGTTTAATGTGCAGGCGCAGCGAATTATTATTTTTCTTGTCAACAATTTTCATATACACAAATTTCCACATTTCTAGTTACTTAACCAATGAATATATTCCACAGTCTCTGTATTGGTTGAACATCTGTCTTTCGACTAGTACTTGAATTTTATGTCTATGCTGTTCTCGGGATTTGTCACTTCTGGTGTTTCTCCTCACAATTTCATAAGCTACCAAATCGTATATTAATATTAATGCTCGTCAAAACACAAACACACAATATTTATAGTCATGTTTAGTTTAATGGGGAGGGAATCTGCAAAGTTATAATTTCAGTTGATGGCCAAACAATATTTTGATCTATAGACGACTTGCTTTTTTGTTGTTGCTGTTATATATATGTATATATATATATATATATATATATCTAGACGTTTTATATAAAACGTCTAGATATTAGTCAACGATCTTTCTTACGTGGGCGCTGGATCGATACGAGTAACGATACATGTACACAATAAATAAATTATATAAACTCCTAAAAAGTGTACAAAACAACACCAATATTTAAGAAAAGGAAACAATAAATGTAAGTATCTATAAATAATGTGGATAACAGATATCCTTCATCAGGATGGTTATGATGTAAAATGAACCATGTCAATCTATTCTGATTTAACTATAACAATCTTGAAACTTATACAATTAAAACCGAAAGCAACAACGCTTGTACCATTCTAAAATTTCAAAAATGACGTAGGTTATATAGGTATTTACAACAGAGACTGCATAGATATGCTTCTTATAAAAATAATAATTTGCGATATGAACTGGTACATTTCTAAAATTTCAAAGGTGACGACAGTTAAGATATTACAACAAAGACTACGCACAAATACATTCCCAATGAACAGCACTGACCGATTTGAGCTGGTATAATATTTCAAATTTGACGAAGGTAAAGTAATTACAACAGAGGCTGCGTATTTAAACATCCCAAATAAATAGCAGTTTGATAATGATTAAAAAGATAATAATAATAATCATTTTGACAAAGGTTAAGTAATTGAACGTGGCTGCGTACTTATACAAATACTATTTGGGATGTATAAGTACGCAGCCACGTTCAATTACTTAACCTTTGTCAAAATTATTATCATTATTATATTTTTAATCATTATCAAACTACTTTTTATTTGGGATGTTTTAATACGCAGCCTCTGTTGTAATTACTTTACCGTAGTCAAATTTGAAATATTATACCAGCTCAAATCGGTCAGTGCTGTTCATTGGGAAAGTATTTTTACGCAGTCTTTGTTGTAATATCTTAACTGTCGTCACCTTTGAAATTTTAGAAATGTACCAGTTCAGATCGCACATTACTATTTTTATTAGAAGCATATCTATGCAGTCTCTGTTGTAAATACCTATATAACCTACGTCATTTTTGAAATTTTAGAATGGTACAAGCGTTGTTGTGTTCGGTTTTAATTGTATAAATTTCAAGATTGTTATAAAATCAGGATTCATTTTACATCATAATCATACTGATGAAGGATATCTGTTTACCGCAATATTTATAGATACTTACATTTATTGTTTCCTTTTTTAATATTGGTGTTGTTTTGTACACTTTTTAGGCGTTTATATATATATATAAGGTAAACCAAGATCTCCTTGTATGCATATGGAGTAAAATAAAAGTTGACAGTTTTAAAATATTTTATTTCTTTTACAATTTATAAAACAATAACAGATTCGTTTAAGGGTGTCCTTTGATAGATTCGAGAGTTTATCATCCGGTAATATAATTGCTTTGTTCATGTTTTTTTTTTCGGGGTGATATTTGATTATTTATTACCACTTGATAATATATCAGTCATGCTATGCGCCGAAAAAGCATTTATAAAGTTAAACACCCTAACATGAACAGTGTTATAATATATGTATATAAAAGGATAACAGAAATTATATATCAAATATTTTTTTTCACATATTGCACCAACAACAAATTGTTATTTAAACATTTGATTAAACTCTTTTTCTTAGATTAGACAATGTCTCAGCAATCTATTGAACTTGTCTTTATATAAAATTACAGAGATGTGGTGTGATTGCCAATGAAAAAAATATCCGCCAGTGACAACATGACGAGGATGGACGCATCTATATAGGTCACCATACACCCTTCAACAATGAGCAATACACATACCGCCAAAAATGCTCGGCAGAACAAAATGTGAAACAGCTCAAATGAAGTTACTTCAAACCAACGGACTGATTTATGATAAAAACAATAAACGAGAAAGACAAATGGTAGACAGCAATCAAGAAAAACATTTAATTACAGACTACTGACTTGGGACAGACATGTACAGGATGTGGCGATGTTTAAAATGCTTCTGATCGCTCTACCCTCTCCTAACCTTGAACAGTGGTTTTGCAACATAACATAAGAACAAACTGTAAAAGTCATTTGGATAGGGCTTGACTCGTCAGATCGACACGAAGCACAAACATAAAACTCGAAGAAGACAAAAGGCAAATCGTACCGAACTAAGAGTTCTGGCAGTTACTAAAATATAGTCCAAAGCCAATTTCAACTAATAATTAAACCATATCTTCCCAGACTAAATTGTTTTCTATTGCGAATCTTTATAATGTAATTCTCTCTGAAGATGGACAACTTAGAGAAATGAAAATATGGTTGACAAATAACAATTTGAGTAGTGACAATAATGAACAACGATTGAAACTATAAATTTGGTTTGGATAGAAGTGAAGCCATCAAAGTTAGCCGCATTTTTTTGTCAGAGAGATCACCGATGTCGCTAATCTCTTCGTTGATGTTAGAACGCCGACCAGCTAATTTTGGAATGTTATTATCTAATGACCTTCGCACCAATTGGTTATAACTGGAATGTGAATTTCTATCCAAATACGGTATATTCTTTGCTGTTATTCTATCAAGGAATGACCTGTTATTTTGTTCATTATTAATTTGAGCATTTGGTAATGTTTCAAATACGTTTCTATTCTTTCTCATGATGGATAATAGATCTTGGTAAATATCATTCTTCATACTTTCTTCACCTCTCTTTTGTAGGCCTTTGCTTGATTTGAGTCTTTCAAAAACAAGCTGGTCAATAGCGGGGTTACTCCGTTTTCTTTTCCCACTGTGAATTGAAAATTGAAAACAGATTAAAAAATTAACATAAAATATTCTCTGAGTTGTAATATGATTTTATAATATTCATCTTTTTAAACATAGATCTATAAATCTGAAAATGGAAAGTAACATATTATGATCACTTATAAGTTTTCCAACAAAGATGTCTTTTTCTGATAATCGATTTCTTTCTTTATTATATTATATTCAATTCAGACATTTGCAACACTCCTGAATTACAAAATAGATGTAAATCCAGTGCATTTTTGTCATCAACATAAACAACAATCGCAAAGCTAAAGACTATTTTTTAAAGGTTTCTATAACAAGCTTACATGACTATCCAATAATACTGATAAAGAGAGAGTCACCCTAACCAGACTTGACACGACACGCTTCATGTTAACATATCTGATTGATAGAAAAATAATGTTGCGTTGGAGAGGATGACCAACAAAAGTGACCTGATTGAACTATTTCATTAGTTAAACAAAATAAACAAGTTATTTCCCGCCTCTGTTAATGACGTAAAAAATAACATTCACAAGTGATCATGGCTGCTGCGAATGAAAATATACAACATGGAAAATTTTAAAACCATCTTTAGATATAAAAGTTTTTAAAATCCGTATACTTGTAATACATGATAACCACTTGAGTTAGTTTTTTCGTTGTTGTTAGAATTGATAAAATAAAGAACATTTTGAATTTTTGCATGTTACTTCAAATGCTTGTATTGTATAGGCTTAAGTTGCATTCGGTTGGTATACGTAGATGCACTCCTTAATTCATTATCATATAAATCTACATGGTTTGATTAAAAAGCTTAGTTTTTAAATGAGATAAAAATTTGCTTTGCCATTATTTGTTATGGAAACGAAAATTATCTAGAAATCTAAAAAGGAAAAAGCAGTGGATGAAATGAAAAAAAAAAAGAATTTCTTAAGAAAAAAAAAACCTTCGTAGACTAAACAAACGGGTGATATGAAAAATTACCAGTACAAACGATAAAAATGCCAATAAAGCTTAGGCAATACTTCCCACCTTTTCATACTGAGCAGAATGTGTGTAACCTACGTTACTTTCAAAAAACTTAAATCAGCATATACTTAAATCAGATGGTCATATATGGGCTTTTAAATAACAACGGCTATAGGATTATGAACATACAACGTAGTCACTTAAGTACCAATGTCTTTATTTATTACCTTTTAAACTGCCAAAATCAACCTCAAAAACAGAGAGGTGGAAGGACTTTTTTAGGGACGTCGTCGGGATTAGGCGTTTTCTTTTTTTGCGGGAATTCGTGCTTTTTTTCGTGGAAATTCGGGGTTTACACTTATCGGGACTATTAATGATTAAGTTTTTGGGATCCAGGAAAGAATGCTTTATTTTTTCGGGAATTCGGGATGACACCCCTCCTATCGCCCCTCAACACACACATGAACAATATATAAAGGTCAAGATCCGTTTTCACTAGACTCTATATTCTTGCTTTTGTTCAATATTGATTTTATCAGGGTGATATAGATCAATTTATGAGCTAAAAACAGGGCAACGGTCAATACAACTGAATAGTCTGTCAATACTAGACTTAACCAAAGTGCTCAGTATTTTGTTGAAGGAGCGACACTTCAATCTTATAATGAAGGTTATTTATATGTGTAAAGAATTATAGAAAAAAGAAATATGCAGATTCCCCAATCCCTAGGTAGCTGTTTTTCATATATATCTGTGTGTATAGTGTTGTTAAGGGATCAACAATTGAATTACAAGCAAGTGAAAGTGTGATTTCCTCCTTTTGTAATTTACATGTGTCCCATCAATGTATATACTTTGATTACTTGGTCTATATTGTTATTAAACGAAGACTTATAATGCGTATCTTCATAACGGTAAGGGTAAAATATTTCAACGAAGACCAAATAGCATATGCCTAGTTACAAATACTAAAAAAAACATGAGTAAAAACAGTCGAAGTGCTATGAACTGCATATAGGGTGTTACGAGGCTTGTGTTTGGCTTAATGACAAGTTCTATTTTGTCCTGAAAAGAAAACGGGTACAGATACATAGGATTCTAATTGTGAAAATCGAAATAATGCGAAAATAAACTGATACATCAAATCGACTGAGCTGGGGGTGTAAATGAAAGCATAACAAACCTTTTAACAATATCCACTAATCCACACCCTATCACATTCCCACACACTCTATAATCCGTGGCATTTAAAGCATTTAAGGCCACCCAGGTTCTATAATGATCTAACCAACGTTCACTCATTTGTCGTCGTGCTCTGAAATGAAGAAAAAAATGTCTTTTCAAAATTCATTTTTAGAAATATTTTTATCTGAAAAAAACAGTACAACTTTTTGTGACGTAAAAAGATAAATTAAACACCTTTAGCATGTTTAATGATCAACATTTAATTTGAAACCCTTTTGTTTGATGATCAATATTTGATGTGAACCCCTTTTGTTTGATGATCAACGTACATTGAATGTGAACCCCTTTTGTTTGATGATCAACATTTAATGTGAACCCCTTTTGTTTGATGATCAATATTTGATGTGAACCCCGTTTGTTTGATGATCAACATTTAATGTGAACCCCTTTTGTTTGATGATCAACATTTAATGTGAACCCGTCTTGTTTGATGATCAATATTTAATGTGAACCCCTTTTGTTTGATGATCAATATTTAATGCATATAGTGGTGCAGGCGATGCTAATTTAACGTCTAATAATAATGTTACCAAATCGACAAACAAAATATAACTTAATGCAGTTTCCCATTCTTAAACTTCGATTGGTTGATATCAGATTTTGAACACCAGTTTTTAGCAACATATGTGTACAGAATTTTTTACAGGATTCAATATAAAGTAGTTTCTTAAGATCGAATCATATTAAATAGTTCTAATTGCCATATGTACGAATGATTTGAAAAGGCAAATAGTTCTGGTATGGAAATATTGAAATAAATGTCAAACATCCGATAACTATAAACATAACTGCTTTAAAACAGGTTCATTTAACTTATTATGTTTACGTTTGTCTATAATCAATTTATATAATTATAGTTGTAAAATTTGCGAACTCTCTTATCAAAAAAAAAAATCATAGACATGTGCAATATCCAAGACTGATTCTTTTCGTGAATTGCTATTTTCCCGCCAATTATTAGCTAGTGATAATGTTATACAGTTAATTATATGAGCGAACAGCTTCCACATTGAACATTTAGTTTGATACAAATGCATCTTTTGAATAAATCAAATCTCACGAGTATTGGGTTTGACTTAATAAGTCAGAGTTTGGTTGAAAAATATAAGATAGGATTTTGATGAGCATAAGTTTTTTTTTCTGAAATAACCTTCACGGCGGCTGTCACGTGCATTTAAGTAGACTAACAGTACATCACCATTGTAAAATATAGCAATACACAATCAGTCTAGATTTTGCTTAAATCTGCAAATTTAGAGACAGAATGGCAAATTTATGTGTATGACTGTTCATTCGAATAAAGAAAAAGGAGAAATTTATTTTATTATCGAGACTGTTTTTATAAATATCAAATATTTTATTTTGTTAGATTTAATTTTTCAAATCAGCTGTTTCTTATAGTTAACATTTTTATAAAGGATTTCGATCTAATTAAAACAAAGAAATATTTGTAATAAAAACCATGCGCGCACACACACAAATGTATAATCAAACAACGTACATCGTAACTTAATAGTTCATATTTATGTGACATTGTTGACTTGACATCAAGATCTATAAAATGTACCATTCAATTAAGTTTTAAAAAATAAAGACTAGTTGGCTGAAAAAGTCAAATACGAATCGTTTAACTGGAAAACCTATGCATCGATATGTCTTTCTGATTGCATTGTGATGTTCAATGTAGCAATGTACCAATCTTCAGGAGGAAGTCATTGGTGAAATAAAGTTGACACTTTTGTTAAGCTGTTATCAGCCGTCTTTGGACAAATTACCCTTTGTAATCGTATATCATGCTATGTTTCTTAACGCTGGAAAGCTATATAAAATCAGGAAATAAATGACATATCTATGGAATTAATGCATTTAATTTCTAACTTGTTACTTCAAAGTAAAAAAGTTAAATTATTACCTTGGAAATATTTTTTGAGTTGATAATCCGTTCAAAAGGCAACACATTATGGCGATTCCAAGAAGCTTCCAGTTCATAATTATTCAAACCTGGCTGTCAAATTTTATCCTTTTAGAAATAAAATCAAGTCTAGCACCACTGGAATAACTTTCAATTTTATTTAGCAGTCCGAATCACTTAGAGCTTATAAACACATTTTTTCCAAAATTTTATTCGTCATAAATGTATGAATTTTGCGCAATCTCATTTCACCAATTCTAATTTATTCTTAATGAAATAGTTTCAATCTATGCATATTCAAATGAAAATGATGAATCGACGTCACTGTCCACAGTAATTGATGTATTTCTAATGTGTACCTTATTTTAGAAAATACTCGAAGCAAGAATTATCAATTAAACTGTTACAGTTTTGTAAACATCCCATTCTTATAGTTTCCGATTGATTGATTAGAACTTTTATCATTATTGTACAGAAATAAGGCTAAGTAATTTGAATAAAATAAAACACATTTGGGAATATCTCTATGGGAGTCTAGATGATTAGAAATTAAAGAATGTGCTATTTGTTGCTTTTGTTTAATGGTTTTTTACATTTTAAGCGCGTAATTTGTGACAAAAGCTCCTACGTAACATCTATACGGGTAAAAACAATTCGGTGTTTCCCCAATATGGAGCAACCAATCTTTTAAATTACTAGGAAATGTCCTAAGATTCCCGCTAAGATATCATTTGTGTAACCTTATAAATTGTGGACATTAAAATCAATTAATAAAACGTTTTTGATTGACATTGATCCCATAAAAAGCCATTTCCTAGTATCATGTAACATTCACTCCCAGATTTCTATGAAATATCATCTCGATATATGTTAATATGTATTAACGAAAAGCATTAGAATTTCACAGTTACTTTAATTTCATCCTTTTTATTTATTGTTTTACATTATTTAAAACCAATCCTACAGTATTAATGGTATGTCACTTCGATTTTGACAAAGTTTAGCATAAAAATAATTGATAATTTGAAAAGTGGGCGTCCGTTTGGCCTTTTGGTACTATGAATCTACGCAGTCACAACCGTCGGAATGGGGACGTTATCCCGATTCCTCATGTAGGAATAATGTACGTTAAAGAACCCCTGCAACAGCTTGCGTGAGATCCATAGGTGGCTTGTTGCAAGTAAAATATTCTACCCGTGTTCAACATACTCTAATTTCCAGAGGCAGTTCCAATTGTTTTCATTATCAGTTTGTTCTCGCATAGAATATGCATGAAATATTTGCCACTGGACGTTAAGCAAGCAGTAATCAATCCCTTTACGCGTTTTAATGCTAAAGTGAGGCGTCCGTTAAGCTGTGCAGGATGTAGCTATGTCCGTTGGAAAAGAGATGTTATATAAGATACCTCGTCTAGGGTGGTAATCACGATCTCTGCAGGTTAAAGAACCCTTGTTACAACTCTCTGAGGCATAGGTAGCATGTTTTACGGGAAAAATTTCGGCCCCATCCAACTCATTTTCCAGTGATAATCCGAATGTTCCTCTCGGTCGATTTACAATGTACTTTGTATAAGTTAGCCACTAGTATTGTATAGATTGTTAACTTGTTCTCAACCTGAATACGCATGAAATAGTTGTCAGTTGACCTTCAACAAGCAAGAATTTACCAATCTCTATGTACAATTGTTTGTCTCTATAATATCTTTTTTCAAGAATATGTACTCAAGAAAAAGTTTTCATATTTAATGGTCTTTTGAAAAATCTCATTACAAATTTATTTGCTGTAACTCGTTTAAAGCCTTTTTCTGTAACGAAAAAGGAAAGTATGCTAGATACACTTACTGGAAATGTAAAGATATGATTGAAGCTTTAAATTTTCTCCTGGACAACATATATGTACGTTTCGGCGATAAAGTGTATCGACAAGTAGTAGGTATTCCTATGGGCACTAACTGCGCCCCTCTAATAGCAGATTTATTCCTGTATTGCTATGAATCTCAGTTTATGACCAAACTCAGTAAAGACACGTCATTGTTACATTTGGTTGATACATTCAACAATACCTTCCGTTATCTAGATGATATTTTTTCGTTAAATAATCCAGAGTTCTCTAAATATACTACCGAAATTTACCCAATAGAACTTACTTTAACTAAATCTAACATAAACAGCAGTAGTTGTCCTTTTCTGGATTTGGACATTTCAATCTCTAAAGGAAAACTCCATACGAAAATTTACGACAAAAGAGACGATTTTTTATTCCCTATTGTTAATTTTCCTTTTTTAGACGGCGATGTTCCTTTGGCTCCATCATACGGTGTTTACATATCCCAACTCGTTCGTTATGCCCGTGTGTGTAGTGATGTCATAGATTTTAACGAACGTAATCAATGCATCACTGGTAAATTATTAAGTCAGGGATTTCGTTACCACAAATTACTTAAAACTTTTATTAAATTCTTTCATAGATACAAAGATTTGACTAGTAAATTTGGCTGTACATGTAGAAAACTGATTAAAAACGGTATTTCACATCCTAAATTTTACGGTAATATTGTACTTAAAGCGCGGAAATCACTATGTGATCCGTGTAAACTCATCGAACCTTTAAACAAACTTATTAGTAAAGGTTATCTTACCAATGTTGTAATTAGATCTTTGAATATAGTTTACATTGGCACTAATATCGATTTTGTCATCAGCAAATTAAAACATAACTAAATTTGTATTCTTTTCAAACGGGATGTATAAAGACACACCCACCTTCATTTTGATCTATAAAGAGGTTAAAACTCCTGACTATCCTACTGTCTGTTGATACATTTATTTTTGGCATTGCACAAGTCATGTCTTCTTTGACTGTCCATGACGTTAAAATACTAAATCCCTGGGATGTGTTTTAGTTGATTTTAGTCTCTGATGCATGATTTTTTATAATTAATTGTTTTGGCTTTTAACTAGCTGTCAGTAACTGCGAGTACTCTCAAATCGTACTGTCTTGTTTATTTGACCTGTTGATACAAATTGTAATGCTTTTATGTTATTTAATGTTATTCAGGGTTACATGTGGTCTATATACCAGCTTTGATAAGTGTTTGGTATTACTATAAATTTTCACTTCGTACTATGAACATCAAAATTATTTATTTTGTAAAAATATTTCTTTTCTCTTTTGGAACTGTACACGTATACCTAACAACAAAATTATTTTCATTTACCTGTGTTTAAAGTTATTGCAAATGGCTGATATTTTGTTCGAGCATATTGTTTTTCTTAAATTGTTTAACATTTCATACCGATATAACATGTTACTTTTATTATTCTTCCATTAGTTTATTTATTTTGTATTTACATTGTATCATAGGTCAAATTTAATTGTTCAGTGTATGTTCACTGGTGTTAATATGTCCTTTGATTGAGTTAAGCTATTTCAGTTGATATTTTATAGTGTGTCTTTCTATGTTGTGATGTTACACTATTGTTTCAAAAAAAAGGGTGAAGGTTTGGTACCATTAAAACGTTTATACCCGCTGCATTTGTTTGCACCTGTCCTAAGTCAGGAATCTGATGTTCAGTAGTTGTCGTTTGTTGATGCGGTTCATAAGTGTTTCTCGTTTCTCGTTTTTTATATAGATTAGACCGTTGGTTTTCCCGTTTGAATGGTTTTACACTAGTTATTTTTGGGGCCCTTTATAGCTCACTGTTCTGTATGAGCCAAGGCTCCGTGTTGAAGACCGTACATTGACCTATAATGGTTTACTTTTATAAATTTTGTCTTGGATGGAGAGTTGTCTCATTGGCACTCATACCACATCTTCTTATATCTATCCACCAAATAGAAATATGATAACTTAGCTGGACTTTCATTTCCAGCAGTAAACCAATGATAGAAGATAAGTGGGAAAATCCGTTTTGAATGCAAGATTAATAAAATCACAGCCACGTCTGGTCGGAATGGGGACGTTAAATTCGATGCATCGTGTAGGGAGATTCTACACTCGCTGTACGTTAACAACCCTTCAATCGCCTTCTTGCGGGTTCATTTTGGACCTGTTGCAGGACAATTTTACTGCCAAATTCCAATATATCCTTCTAGATAACAGAGGTAGTTCAAATTTCCCGCCCTTCATCCCGGTCGGCCCATATTGGTTGTTATTATGTTCTCATCCTGAATAAGCATGAATATATGCGTGTAGAACAAAACAGTCAATCATATATGTATACACGTATAAAAATTGCGGTTTTTATCCAACGCAATCATAGGTTTGAACGTTGTTTTCAATTTAGACTTGTTTATATTTTTTCGTTTGGGCTTGTATTATATTTCGCTTCGGGTTTATATGATCCGTTCATCCTATTTTGACTCTTTCAAAATTCAAGAGTCTATCCTAAATTGAGGTAAATTATATGGCCTTCCAAATACCGTTTCGATTCCTAACATCACTGAAGAGACATTAGTTGTCGAAATCCGGATATGGTGTACAAATTTTTGCACCTCATGTTTGCGGTATACCATCTATTCCGCAAGTTTATTGTTTTCTATTTGTTAATAAATTAATGATAAGATCTATTTTGTTACATCTTGTGATCCGTTTATTTGGCAATCGCCAATGGCAGTCAGCAGGGTTTAAGAACATCAGTTGTTCGACCTGCTAGTCAAATGCGTTTTGTTAAAATATACTTTTTCACTCATTTGGTCTTTTGGAAAATGTTGTTTGTGCTGTATTTAGACCCCTCTACCTAGAAATTTGTTTTGCATGCACATGTATAAAAATTGCGGTTTTTATCCAACGCAATCATAGGTTTGAACGTTGTTTTCAATTTAGACTTGTTTATATTTTGTCGTTTGGGCTCTGTATTATATTTCCCTTCGGGTTTATATGATCCGTTCATCCTATTTTGACTCTTTCAAAATTCAAGATTCTATCCTGAATTGAGGTAAATTATATGGCCTTCCAAATACCGTTTCGATTCCTAATATCACTGAAGAGACATTAATTGTCGAAATCCGGATATGGTGTACAAATTTTTGCACCTCATGTTCGCGGTATACCATCTTTTCCGCAAGTTTATTGTTTTCTGTTTGGTAATAAATTAATGATAAGATCTTTTTTGTTACATCTTGTGATCCGTTTATTTGGCAATCGCCAATGGCAGTCAGCAGGGTTTAAGAACATCAGTTGTTCGACCTGCTAGTCAAATGCGTTTTGTTAAAATATACCTTTTCACTCATTTTTGTCCTTTGGAAAATGTTGTTTCTGCTGTATTTAGACCCCTATA